AGCCATGAACTAATTTTAAAGGGGAGCAGTCTTGAGGGTTTTGGAAGCCTTGGTCCATAGTCAGTTGACCCTGTGGCTTTGGGGCCTGTGGTGACATGGCATGATGAGAAGCATATGTGGATGAGGCTGCTCGGATCCATGGAGACTGAGAAGAAGGTGGGGGTCAATACCCCTCTTCAAATGCAGGTCTCCAGGGACATAACTTCCTCCAACTAAGACCTGCCCTTTGAAGTTATCATTACAAACCAGATACCCACATCATAACAGTGATCAAGCTAGCCAGTGTATGTGTACATACATACATTTTATTTCATTTCTCTGAAGGCCCTCACAAAGACTCAAATTTAGAGCATGAGCATTCGCTTCATAAGCGGATTTTTCTTTGAAACATCAAGTTGGTTGAGACCTATGTGATCTCAGAAATTGAGGTTTTATTTTAATATCCTTGTGTACTATACATATAAATAAGTAATATTTATGTTGTGCTTTCCAGTTTAATAAAGTGCCCCCCCTGAAGTGTTAGAAACGTTAACAGCTGTAATGGAAATCAATAAGTTCTGTAAGAGGTAGAGTTTAGAAATCTTAAAGAAAGAATGACCACTTACAACTGGAGGTTGGGATGCTTTTTTTATCATTTTTTATTTTAATTTTAAATAGCTTGTTTTACATGTCAATCCCAGTTCCCTCTCCCTGCCCTCTTCCCGCACTCCCCTTCCCCCTCCCTCCCACCCTATTGCCAAATCCTTCCACATAGGGGATATCTAGAGTCTGTCATTTTACTCTTGGTAGGGTCAAGGCACTCCCCTAAGAGTCCAGGCTGAGAGAGCATCTCTCTTTGTGCTATAGGCACATGAAGACAGTTTGTATACCAGGGATAGACACTGATCCACAGCTCAGGGCCCCATAGGTTGCCCAGGCCTTCTCACTGACACTCACATTTGGGGGGGGTCCAGATCAGTGGTTGGGATGCTTTTAAGACTGATTGCTAGCAACACAGGATTTGTTTGAAATTTTAACAAGGAAGATCTGGAGGCAGCTCTCTATTCAGATATGCCTCTGCTCTCCCTATTCCTCCTTCCAGCCTTGCCCTTGCCTCCTCCAGTCTCTCCCATTATGCTAGATAATTTTTGTCAACTTGATACAAAACTAGAGTCATCTGGGAAGAAGGACTCTCAGTTGAAGAGCTTCCCTCGTCAGACTGGCCTGTGGGAATATTTGAGGGGCATTGTCTTAATTGATGATTGATGGGAGAAGGTGTCTACTGTGGATGGCACCATCTCTGGGACAGTAGTTTTGGATTATATAAGAAAGGAAGCTGAGAAAGTTACGGAAAGAAGCCAGTATGCATTGGCTCTGTTTTAGTTCCTGCCTCGGGGTTCCTGCTTAAGCTCCTTCCCTGACTTCCCTCAGTTATGGACTAATTTGGAAGTGTAAAATTAAATAAACCGTTCCCTCTCCAAGTTGCTTTTGATGAGAGTGTTCTGTCAAAACAGAGAAACAAACTAGGACACAAACTATTATGCTCACCATTTAATACCCCCTATAATACCTCATTAGATATGGAACTTACTCACAGTCTTGTTTTAGACATTCTTGAAATGGATACCAGCTGTCAACCCATGGCTTCATGCCTCTATACTGAGCTTTAGGTGATGGTCTCTTTGGACAACATCTTAGAGATACTGCAGTCTCAGTTCTCATGCAGGAAAGAAAAGACTGTAAAAGTTGATGAAGTCACACCATGGTCCCTAGCTGGGACCAATGATCTGGGGTACACTGACATAGTCTGATCGAACTGCAGGCCCAGCCAGGTAAATCCCCAGGCAGAAATGCTCACAACACCAGGATCTTGACTTGCCAAACCTCCAGAATATTGAAAATTGTTTCTGGCATGTGTAAATTATTAATCCCATCACATGTTGTCTATGACTAAGGCATCAATGTCTAATGGACTAAGACACCTACAGATAAGTTCAGAAGAACTTGACTCCTCTCTGTCCCATCACAGAGAACACTGTTAATTGCCCCATAAATTACAAAATCAAATGAACTTTCTGATTCAATAAGAATCCAGAAGAACTAGGTTTTGTGGCCCCTAAAAAAACTTCATGCACCTTTCCCCATTCATGTATTTTACTGTAAACCCATCTCCAACAATGCTATAATTCTGGGATCTCCCCCTCCAGCAGGTGTCTGCAGAAGCCAATGCACAGAACATCACTGCTCAATGTTTCAAATATTGATAACAGCTGCCCTCAGTGCACAGGCCCTGGCCAGAAGACATTGAGCATTCAGGAAAATGCATAAAACCAATTTCTAAACTGCACTCCATAATTGGACTCTCCTTAAGGGGCCAGTAAACAGAGCACATGAATAATTTTACAGCGTGAGTAAAACCATTTCCAGTTGGGCAACGTATCTTCTCTGCGATGCTTAGAGATGGTTTGAACATGCCTCCGACAATTCCTTCCCCACAACCCACTCACTACTTCCCAGTGACTGCTTTGAATGCAACAACGATCAATCTTGACCTCTGAATCCAAAGACTGATTTTCCCAGGCTTAGAATCCTCTTTACTCTATGAAAAATACTTGAACTCTTATCAGCTTATCTGCAGTCTCCTCCTTGATTCCTTCAGACTCAAAAGCACCATTTTCTCTAAGTTTCCGTTCTCAGCATCCTTTCTCCCTATATTCTACCCTCTAGCTGGCAAGCATCCCCTTCAAGAGGCAGTACACCAACTCCAGACTCTACCATGTAGTCCCTTTCAACCTCACTAAACCCTACTAGGTACTAGAACAATCTGGAATTTTGTTCTTTTTCCCATATTAGGAGACATCTAAGAACTGATTTTTTTGTGGGAGACAGGGTCCACATCCCACCCCAATGTATCTTAAAAGCCTCCCTGTTTCTCAGTGAAGATGTTACACAGAGTTCTAAAACCTATACACATGTTTTATTCTCTATTTTCATATTATGATCAAGTTTAATTTCTAAATTAGGCATAGTAAGAGAGTGATAACAGTCATTGTAAAGCAATTATAACAATATATTGCAATGAAAGTCACGTAAATGATCTTTTCTCCCTTTCTCTTCATTATGGACCCTGTGGCAAGGGTATTACTCACTTTCCTGGAGGCACAGCGGTGAGCAACTTATACTCAGAATGGCAACTTAATACTTGTGAATTACAAGTTTCTGGAATCCTCCATTCCATTTTCAGGCTATGATTGACCATGGGTCATGGGAACTGCAGCAACCAAAACCACAGAGAAGAGGGGCTGCTACACTAATGTTCTCAGTTGCCCTTGCATCAATATACGACAACATGGTCTGTGCCTCTGGAGTGGCCCTGTCCCTTGTGTCAGAAGTTCATGATCCAAGGAAGCAAGGATCTCAAGCCTGGCAATGACAGTGACTTCAGAAGAAGCCACAATGACACAAAGTCTGAGGTGCATAATCCAGGGTCTAGGCCTCAGGGGCAGCCAGGGGTAAACTCATGATCTGGGACTTGGGCTTGTTTCAGGATGGGAGTCAGCCTGGTCCTGAAGATCTTTTCAAGACTCCACGAGTTACTCCATCTCCCTTTTTAAAGTCTGGTTTTCTTCCAATTAAGAATCCTAAGTGCTACAGTTTCCTATCCAACATCTCAGATCCAACTATTCTGAAACCGAATCTAATTTTTCCATAAAAGCTGTTATTTATCATAATGTTCCATTTTCCCTGATAGAATCACACTGACTGTATCTTCAGAATTATCTTTACTTTCTCCGCTCTCTTTCCTCATTGAACCAGATGATAATGTTGGTCTTCCTAGATAATGCCTTCCTCCTTCATTCCTTCGTTTTCTTTGTCTGCTCAAAACCTTCTGCAATCAAACTTTATCCGCCATCCATACTAATGGAGCAGGGATTCTACCTGTTCTCTCTGCCTTCAACTTCCTGTCTTTATTATTACTAACAAGCAATAATTGTACAAATTAGTGGAGTGCAGGATGATGTATGCATATGCATACAGCATTGCAATGATCAAATCAGACCTCCCCTGTCCTGCCATTTTCCCAGGCATCCTCCCCCATCACCCTTCCTGATGCCTAGCAGTCACTACTGTGATTCCAGCATGTTTTAACTTACAAATACAAGAGAGAGTGTGTGGTAGTTGTCATTTAGAATCTAGTTTATTTCACTTCATATAATGTCCCCCACTTCCTTCCACATTGCTGAAAAGGCAAAATTTCATTCTGATTTAGAGCTGATAATGCTTGTGTGTATGTGTGTGTGTGTGTTGTATTTTCTTCAGTTATCTGTGTTAATTTTATGTCTTAGCCATTATTAGTAATACCGCAATGAATGTGGGCACTTAGGTTGGATTTTATATGCTACTTTCAGGTGTAATTCCCTTTGGACCACATGGTAGGCCTATGTTTGGTTTCTTGTGGGAGCTCCATATGGTGTTTCATAAGTAGCCCTTCCTTTATGCATTCATTTAATGCCAATAGCACTATTTTTATTGTTACACTGTTTAACATCTTATAGTGGCTCTCTAATCCCATAGGCAAAGTTCCATAGCAAACGTAGCATAAGCACCATAGCAAACCCCAGAAACCAATGGCTTTACCCTTCAATTTTCCATTTGTGTGCCATCTCTGCTCTGACCTCACATGAGACAATGTTCACCCTTTGTGGGTTTCTCTGAATAAATAAAGTACTGCAAAGTAGGTGAGCAAATCAGACTTCAGTGACATCACAGGAGACATGGATGAAGGGTCCACCCCACATATGTCACAGATGTATGTCTCTGTTTCCTGAGAGTGCTTTTCTGATCATGGAGCCAGTAATGTCAGCTTTTTCTATGCCACCTGACCCTTTCCCCACCCAAAACTCAATCTGCTAAGCCTTTTCATCTCTTTGATGCATTATGGAAAGCAATAGGGTTCTGCAGAAAGCAGTAACTGATAGAGATAAGGAGCATGAATTCATGACATACAGAGCTCACACTAATGCCTTGGAATTGCCTGTTTATTAATGTTGCCACTGGAATTTCCATTCACAGAATCCAAACAAACGTGCACCCCTTGCTTAAGCAAATTGGAGTTGGGTTCCTACCTCCTTGTCCTAGAAGACATAATCATAAAGAACACAAAACAAGAAGACCATAAGGGGCAGGCTACATTTTTCTCATTTTTATACTGTACTAGTGAATTCCTCAGCTAGAAGTAATATGGTTTTCTGTCTCTCCTTGCAATTTTAGCTATGGGTAAGTAAAAACAAGGCCTACTTATGATTACTAATGAGTATTTTCCCCTTATAGTTTCAGAAACTACACCCACACACACAAAAATAATTGTAATTCCTCCCAACATCTGATTTAAGTACTTCTTTCTTAAATACGACTTTTTTGAACTTTAAAATATTTTAGTAATATAAAAGTGCTAAAATAAAGATGGGTAGTGGTGGTGCACACCTTTAATCCCAACACTCAGGAGGCAGAGGCAGGCAGATCTCTGAGTTCGTAGCCCACCTGGTCTACAAAGCTACACAGAAATACTGTCTCAAAAAAGCAAAAAAAAAAAAAAAGGTGCTAAAATAAGGATGGACATGGTAGTGTATACCTGCAAACCCAAAAGAGATGAGACAGAGGCCGAGGTTGAAGGCCCATCTGATGTATATAGTGAGTTACAAACCAGCAAGGGCTACACAGTGAGACTTTATCACAAAAAAACCTGGGGGAGGGGCTACTGCAAATAACATGCTGCCATTCTTTCTGGAATGCTTGCAGTTTATTTTCTATAACAGACCTTTAACCTATCAGGAATTTTTTGTGTGAATAGTAACAGAGAGACATCTGGTTAAATCTTTCTTTTCCCATCTAAATAACCAACCACAGCTACTTCCTTAATCAAATAATCAATATTTCCTCTGATACTTTGTAATACTTACTTGTCATTTGAATTCCAATTATTTGCAGTTGGTTTCCAGATTGTTTATTCCTTGACAGATTTGTCTGTGACTGTCATTTTTCATGAACTGCACACTGGAGCCCTGTGGGGTGAGGTGGGGGAAGTTTGGACTGTTCAGCATCGTTAATGACATGGGCACAGTTTCTAGAAAACTCTCCCTTAGGTGGCTTTGTCATTGTGTGAACATCAAACCATGTGCTTAGATAAAGCAGAACCTACCACACACCAAGCGGGTATACAGCTCGCTTCTTCCCGCCCAGTCCTTCTTGGCAGAATTGCAGGGTGTGTCGAGTTACTCTGGCTGGCACGCAGTACAGTAATTGACACAGGCTCGGAGGACAGCCTTACCTTCCCGCGAAATGAGTCAAATGTGTCTGTCATCACAGGGGAGCCCGTCGATTTCTACTTTCTTCCGTGTTTTTATCTTGGATGACTGCTGGTTTGTTTTCACGTTTGGTTACTTCACTCTGCTTATTTATTCCTTGCTTTATTGTGGTTCCTGGCACTGAAGCCAGGGCACAGCCCATGCTAAGCAAGTCCCGCAGTGCTAAGCTACACCCCCAGCCTCAGACAGTGGAGTCTTGATAAATGTCTGTCCTACCTAGGGATAGTCACATCATTTCTTTATAATCAGTGTTGGTGAGTGAGAGCTGTGCATACTTCCCCTCACAGTGCCCTTGACCAATCTTTATAACAAGATTATACTGGCCTAATAAAAGGAACTGGAGAAGTTGCCTTCTATTTTAGTTGCTGGAACACATTATATAAGACAAGAATTATTGGTCCTTAGTATTTTATGAGACTACTTAATGAAATAGTTATGGCCAGTATTTTAAGGGGAAATAGCTTATTCTTTCTTCAAAATGTTAAAGTCAGGACTAGTTTTTTCTGTTTCTTTGAGTGGCTTAGCAGGAGTTATAATTTTCCAAGAATCTATCTACTTCTACTAAACTTTCAAACTTATTGACAATCTCAAAAGGCACAATTGCTAGACTTAACATGCTTTTCTCTTTTTGTGTTTTGGTTTTGCTTTGTTTCGTTTTTCTAGACATGGTTTCTCTGTGTAACTTTGTAGGCTAGGCTGACTTCAAACTCACAGAGATCCACCTGCCTCTGCCTTCTGAGTAATGGAATTAAAGGAGTGCACCGCCACCACCTGGCTTCTTTTTTATTTCTAATGTCACTTTTGATGACATTGTTAATCATAAGGCTTTACATTATTAAAAGTTGGATTTTTTTCTTCAAAAATGTTTTGCAGATAATTTGTTTCCTTTATGATTTATTTTCTATTTTATTTTCCACTTTTTATTATTCCACTCTTTTGAGTTTACTCTGTACTTGTTTTCTTAACTTCTTGAGTTGTATGCTAATTTTATGAATTTTTAATTTTTTTCTTTTTAACTTAATTTAGGGATATAGTATTTCTCAGAACACTGTGATGGTGGTTTAAATGAGAAGCCCCCCTCCCATAGGCTCATGTGATTGGATACTTGATCCTCTGCTGGGGGAACTATTTAGAAAGGATTCGGAGATATGGCCTATTGGAGAAAATATGTCACTGGAGGCAGGATTTGATATTTCAAAATCTCACCACATTCCCAGCTAGTGCTCTCTCTATATATATATATATATATATATAGATAGATAGATAGATAGATAGATAGATAGATAGATAGATCTTTCTCTCTCTCTCCCTCTGCCTCATGGTTGTGTCTTGGAAATGCAAGTTTTCAATTACTACTCCAGTACCATGACTGCTCCCTGCTGCCATGCTTCCTACCATGAGGGTCTCTAGCCTTCTGCAACTGAAAGCCCCAATAGACTCTTCTATAAATTGCTTTGGTCATGGTATTTTAGTACAGTGATAAAAAGTAACCAGGATAACTCCTCCATAACAGTAAGGTTTTAGTTGATCAACATTGTGTTTTCATTCCTTTCTAGAGACTTCTACTGACACAAGTCATTTAAATTCGTTGTCTTTGTGTAAAGGATGGTTAGTGTCATTCTTTACCTGATTTGTAGTTTTTTATGACAGAATATTGATATCAGTGGATAATCTACATGTCCTTTCTAGAGTTTTTGAGACTTGTTTTCTAACTTGCTAAATGTGCAATTTATATGTGTGTGTGTGTTTAAGAAAATGCCAATTATCTAAATATTAGCTATATTTTCTGCACACGGAATTCAATTCTCTCTTATACTTATTCACTATTTATGAACTTGATATACCACTTTCTGAGAAAGAGTAATAAACTCTCCCGTAATGTGTGGATTTGTGTACTTCCTGTAATGATGTGTGTTTTGCTTTTCTATTGCTGTGATAAAACACCATGACTAAGTTAACTTATAAAAAATCCTTTAATTTAGTTTGTTTCTGAGGGTTAGAGTTCATGTAAGTAGAGTGAAGGAAAGCTGGGAACTCACATCTTGATCCACAACCACAAGGCAGAAAGAGAGAGCAGCAGGACTCTCATTAGTCATTTGGAATCTCAAATCCCACTTCCAATGACAAACTTCCTCCAACTAGGCTAAACCTCTTGATCTCTCCCAAATAGTTCCACCAAGTGGAAAACCACGTATTCAAGTATATGAAACTATTGAGGGCATTCTCATTCAAACCACCACACAATGTTTGCCTTCTATATTTGTTAATTGCATACAAGTTCAGGATTACTTTACCTTCTGGTAAAGCCCATCTGTGTCACTGGATAATGGGGGTCTTTAAAATATATTTTATCTAATAATAGTACTAATTTCTTTCCTTTTAGTTAGCATTTACCTGAGATAGTTTCTATCTTTGATTTATCTTTTTCTCATTTTTAGGTATGTTTGTTTTTCTTTTGGTAATGTTTTTAACTTTTATTTGAGTGTGTGCTTGCATGCATGTGCGCGTACATGTGTGCATGTGCGTGTGCGTGTGTGTGTGTGTGTGTGTGTGTGCGTCTGCTTGTGTGCATACTGAGTATTGAAGCCAGAGCCTTGAACATGCTGAGCAAATGCATTCTCTGACTTACATTGCCATCCCTGGTATATGTATCTTGCACACACCACATAGCTGGATTTGATGGGGTTTCCTTAATCTGATTTAAGAATCTCTGATTTAAATGAATTTTTAAGTTCCACATTTCTAACTATTGCTAATTTAAACTTATTCTTATCATCTTACCTGCTTACTTAACCATGGTATTTTTGCCTCTTTTCTCTTCTAACCTTCCTTTTTGATTATTAATATTGCATTTCAACTCCTTGTTTTCTTCCTCTACCAATAAGACAGTTGTGCTATATTTTTATTTTAGTAGTTTAATTTTAAATATCTAATTGTTAGGACAGAGTCTCCCTTCTTCTTGAACAGAGCAAGGACCTTATATAACCTAGTCTGTCTATCTGATGCATAGGCCAGAATAACCAATCCAAACAGGAATTGAATCTTAAACTGTGTTTCATTCAGGAAGTCATAAATCTTCCTGATGTGGATTAACCTCCTAACATCTCATGTCTACCCAGCATATTGAAACAGGAATGGGAAACAAAGACAGCTGATCATTTCAAAACCTAGTGGTACCCCTCTGATCAGGTGATCTGTCTAGTCTCTGAGATATATTATTCTGGTTCTTTTCCCTAATCCTCTCCTCTCTGTAGCCTAGGGAAGTTTGCAAATGCCAAGACCACTGAGTCTTACATTCTTCCTGATCTAGTCCTGTGGATGACATATAGATTGAAGGTTGACTCAACACAAGCCATTAACATCATGTGCATGAAGATTCTGTCCTACAGAAAATCTACATATGTACACTTACAACATAACCATGAAGTGCTCTATCACCTACACCATTTCAGTTCTGATTCCTCATCCTTCCTGCTGTCTCTGTTAAATAGACTTTCCATTTCATTGTCTTTGTATCCCCCAGTCAGCTGCTATCAGTGTTGCTTTAGGGGTTGTGATAGAAATGTGTCTAACCTTGAATTATCCAATTTCCTATTCATTGTTGCTTTTTAGCTCCTTACATTTCTGTTCAGTTTCTTTTATCCAAATCATTTCATTTTGTGAAGACTCATAATTAGAACTCTCTTTGTTTTGGTTTGAAAACAACTTCATTTTGTCCACACATTTTAGGTTTTACTACTCCATGTGTAGACCTCAGCACCGATCCTTAGTTCCTTTTGGCCCATTCAGCATACAATTCATTGGTTTCCAGCTCCTGTTGTTATGATGAAATGTATTTTGAAATTCTTCTGTTGTTCTTATGTAGGTAATTTTCTCTGATGATTTAGAGTTTTTATTTGGTTTTAGCACAAGTAAACAATTTTACCATGATATGCCATAGATGGGTTTATTTTTATTTCACCTTCATCATGAAGCTTATTTTCTTAAATTCTGATAAAAACATCTTTCACCATTATTATGCTGAGGCCTCTTTCTTATCCTTCTCTTCTAGACTTTATCCCAGACACATGTTAATTTCTTATTTTATTCTCCTTACTATTGATTTTAAGTTTATATATTCCAATTTCTCATCTCTTTTTGTTACATCCTAAGAAATATTTTTATTATAAATAAATTTTTCCTACAATATATTCTGGTTATTGTTCTTTCCCCTGTTCTTCCCTGATCCTCCCCACCTCCTTACTTGCCAAATTTAAGCTTTATGCTTTCTTTCTCAAAAAAAACCACAAAAAATGAAAGCAATAGTAAAAAAAAATGACAAAACAACACCGACACAGACAGAAATAAACAAACAAAAGCCATGGACTTTGTTTTATGTTGGCTAACTACTCCTGGGCATATGGATAGGCTTAGAGTGTGGTTGCTATACCCAATGACTCTCCACTGGGGGGAAAAAGATTTTTCTCTTGCAACAGCTCTCACTTGCAAATAGTTTCTTGGTTAGAGGTGGGACCCTGTATATGCTTCCTCCTCTCAGTGCTGGGATCCTATCTGGCTTCAATTTATGCAGGTCTTATGTGTGAGTTCTTATGTCCATCAGATCTGCTGTGTCTAAAATAGTGTTACCTTATAGTCATCATGTATGAATGTTTGCCCACATGTGTGTATGTCTACCACATGTGTGGCTAGTGATTGCATAAGAAGGCAATGGTTCCCCTAGAACTGGAGCTGCAGATGGTTGTGAGCCATTAGAGTCTACAAACTAAGCACAAGTCCTTTTCAAGAGCAACAGGTGCTCATAATCACTGAGCCAACTCTCCAGTGCCAGTGAGTCTGGGAAACAGGGAAGCTCACAAGAGAGATGTGTAAGGAGGCAAGATCTCCTGAGCAGATTGGGAACATCAGGGGAGGGGAGAGGGAACCAGGAAAAAGAGAGGGGGATAAGAGGAAGGGAGGAGAAGGCATGGGGAAGCAGGAAAGTTGAGTCAAGGTAAGAATAGAAGAGAGCAGGATGACAGATACCATAATAGATGGAGTCATTATAGCTTTGAGGAGAGAGCTGACACTAGTGAGATTTCCAGAGATCTACAAGGATAACACCAACTGGTAAACTAAGCAATAACAGAGAGACTACATTAATAGCCCCTATCTGATGATAAGGTTGATGACTACCTTATATGCCATCCTAGAACCTTCATCCAGTGACTGATGGAAGCAGAGACAGATACCCACAGGTAAACACTAAACTGAACTCCTGGAACCCAGTGACAGAGGTGGAGGAGTGATGAGCAAAGGCATCAAGACCATGCTGGTGAAACCCACAAAGACAGCTGACTGGACAAGGGGGGAGCTCTTGAACCCCAGCCTGATGGCTGAGAGGCCAACAAGGGACTGATCCAGACTCCATGAATGTAGCATCAGTGAGGAGGCCTCAGAAATCTCTGGGGCTTGGGTAGTAGATCAGTGTTTACCATGGCATAGGAATGAATTTTAGGAGCCCATTCTACATGAAGGGATGCTCTCTCAGCCTGGACATAGGGGGAAGGGCCTAGGTCTTGCCCTGGATGAAATGACAGACTCTGGAGATCCCCCCAAGGAGGGCCCCACCCTCCCTGGGGAATGATGTAGGGATCAGGCTGTGGGCGGGAGGGGGGAGGAAAAGGGGGGGTGGTGGAGGGACAAGGGAGGAGGGGTGGGAGAGGGAGCTAGGATTGACATTTGAAGCATGCATGCTTCTAATTTAAATAAAAACATAAAAATTTTAAATAAAAGTATTTAAAATAAAATAAAATATGCAACCAAGAAAAAGATTTTATTTTTAATTGTGGATGTGTGCACATGAGTATAGGTGCTCATGGAATCAGATTTATAGAATCCCTCAAGCTCCCTGAAGTGACAGGTAGTTGTAAGCCACCAGCACAGGTACTGGGAATCGAACTGGGGTCCTCTGCAATAGTATGCTCTTAATCACTGAACCATTTCTCCTGCCCCATCATGTCCCTTCACTGCATGAGAGGCCATGTTGATCGGCCCAGACCACCTAGGTTTCTGTAAGTACACTCCATGATGGGCATTCACTGACAAAGTCACCCCATGTTGTATTTCTTAGGACACTGCCCTGCCACTAAGCAATGCAGGCTGCACATGGTTATCCTTGGTGGCACTTGTGCTCTTACTTGCATGCCTTTCAAACCTGACTTAAATCTCAGGGTTTGTGATGATTAACACTGATTATTAGTTCTGGGTGTGTCTATAACCATGTTTCCAGAAAAGTGTGACTGAACGTGGAAGATGTGCCCTAATATGGGTTGCATCTTATCATAGGCTGCATCCAGGACTGAATAAAAAGGAGAATGCAAGCTAAATATTGGCATTTGTCTCTCATTGCTCATACCTAGCAGTAGGTATCTTGTGACCAGCTGACTCACATTCATGACTCCCCCACTGTAATGGACTATAATTTCTTTTCTTTTTCCTTATTAAAAAATAATTTTCATTTTATGTATCAACCCTAGTTCCCCCTTTCTCTCCTTTTCCAGCTCTATCTCCCACCCTCCCCACCCCCATCCACTCCTCAGAGGGGTTAAGGCCTTCCTTGGGGAGTCAAGAAAGTCTGGCATACCAAGTTGAGGCAGGACCAAACTGCTCCCCACTATATAAAGGCTGAGCAAGGTATCCCAACATAGGGAGTGGGCTCCAACAAGCCAGTTCATGCCCCTGGGATAGGTCCTGGTGCCACTGTCACCTCCCCCCCCCACAACAGATCAAGTCACATAACTGTCAAGACAGGGAGGAGGGATCGTATGAACAAGGGGAGGGGAGAGGTCAAGACCATGGTGAGGAAAACCAAAGAGACAGCTGCCCCAAACTAGAGGGAGCTCACAGACTGTGGGCTGACAGCTGGGGAACCTTCATGGGGCCAAACTAGACCCTCTGAATGTGGGGGACTATACTTTCAAACTGTGAGCCAAAACTTGTAGTGGTATATTATTTATAATTTATTAAAGCTTGTCTGAGGTTTCAGAAAGCAAAATCAGTCACAGGCCATAGAAGCCAGGCACATATCTTTAATTGCAGCAACCAGAAGCTAAAAGGTACATACCTTTAATCCTAGGAGTCAGGATTAAGAGATAGATGGATCTTGGTGAGTCCAAGGACACCCAGATCTACACAAGAATGATTCAGTCTAAAAGAATTGTAGCTCATACCTTTAATTCCAACATTAGCGAAGTATATAAGACAGAAGCAATGTCTCAGAGAGGCATTCGTTCTCCAGCCACACTGATGAAAGGTTACAGTCTGAGGCTTGGTGAGAGTTTGGGGAGACAGGACTGGTCCATTAAGCCTGAGGGAGAGGTAAGAAGCCAATGGCTTTGTTTTCCTGAATCCTCAGGCAAGCTTTAACAAATCATAAACAATACATCACCACAAAACTCCTCCTTCCTTAGGTTGCTTTGGACAGATATTTTGACACAGGAATGAGAAAACTAACATAAGTAACAATAAAACAGTAGCTCTAAACATTATATATAGTACATAAAGTATTATGTAATGTACATAAAATATATATAGTAAAATATACAATACATGCAAATATATAAAAATGAAATATATACAAAGTACATAAAAGGTACTTTATTATAAGTACATTTTTGTATACACATTGTATTGTTTCAACAGAAAAAATGCCTGGAAGTCAAATTTCTACAAAAGAAGTATGCAAATGCCTACTTAGTACCTAGGAATTTGCCTAAGACCAGCTTATGGTTGATAGCATCACTTCTCTGTGACGGCACCCTATAACTTGGAGAAAAAACAATATACAGCTAAGGTACCATTGGGACGCAGATTTTGATGGCTACAATATGTTGTTTATGTTTTAAAAAGAAAACATGTTTCCCCAAGTAAAAATCAGTGCACTCAGAATACATTGAAAATACTAGCAATGATGGGATCATGTATAATTTAACAGCCCAGAAAGCCCTGTTGTTAATGTTTGGGTTTCTGACTTCTCAGATTCATGTTTTACATCTTACATATATTTAAGTTTAAATGGTTTCACACTCTTATAAAAGGGGAAGCATATAAAATTAAAAATAAGTTAATGCCAAACATAGGTATAGAAGAGATTAAAATCATAATAAGGCATAATATATAATTTCGCACTTTAAAAATGAAAGTTACAACAAAAAGACCACTCTGTGCAGAAATAAAGGTACCAAAATTACAGCTGGCATAGAATAATCACTGTAGAGCTATAAGAGGCAAAAGTTCACTCAAAAACCTCCGGGCTTTGATGTTTTTCCAGTAAGCTTCTGTGACTTTAATGACCAGATCTCCCAACCCAAATGAACAGTTTCAGAGCCTGACAAAGGCAAGAGTGAGTAAACCAAAAGATTTACACAGCAATATAATCAAGAAGCTATGAGGGAAGGTACTAGAAGCCGTCACGCGAGGGTGGGAGACGGAACAGTGAGAGTGGAAGGGTACAACAAGAACAGGGAGCAGAAAGGTAGAGACCCACAGGCTTTAACCAAAAGCAAGTATTGTGAAAGTGCTAAGAGGAACCTGCTACCCTGTGTGTTGTTTGAAAACAAACAACTGAAAAAAGGATGAACTTTGAACGCAGGCTGCTTCACTGTCCTTTTACATACTCATCGTTGCTATTATTGCATGTAAATTACTTACAAAGATGTCGCAGAGCATCTGTGAAAGTAGCCCCGTAATGGAGAACTGCTAACATGGACACACCCTGGCTTCCACCCCAGCAAAAGCTAAGGGCTCCAGGTTTGTTCTTTGAAAACCCTAAATTTTCAGTATCAAGTTTCTAACTCTTCTATCACCTGACTCTTGAAGACTGACTGTGACTCAGATATATTTTGCTTTGGGTTTGTAGCTCCGTGGTAAGGGGAGTGCTTGGTACTTAGTCGCCAGCACACACAAACACAGACACACATACACAGACACATACACGCACACACACACACACACACACACACACACACAGGCATGCACACACGCACGCACGCACGCATGTTCACCTTTCAATGTTTCCAATCCTTTCTGGTTATTACTGTGTCACCCCACACAGTGAGGGAGATAGTTATATTGTAACTTTTACTGAAAAATAGTTGTTCCAAATTGATATTCAAGAAAAAATACTTTCTGTGACTTCTCAATAGTAATAGAAATCGTGCAGCCATTTTTTAAGCCCCTTACTTCCATGTTCTAGATGTCTAGTGAAAATATTCAGTTTAATCAATTCAGGGATGATTAATCAAGACCATAAATTCTGTTTTCATTACTTCTCATTTTAAAATAAAATTGCCTTATCCCACTTCTGACACCAGATAAAGAGGATATTCAGTGCTATAAGGAACACAATATATTTATTTACCAGAGAGAGAATTGCACAAGCTAGGAGTTAGAAGCATGGCTGGCTTCCAAGAGAAAAAAGGGAGGGTCCTTTTCCTTTCACTTCCTTTTATATCTGCCTGTGTCAGTTTACATGTCCCTGCTCTCATGGGCAGATAGCTTTGTGGGGTTCACTCCTACAGACTTCTCATCTTTGGGAGCCCATTCCACATAGAGGGATGCTCTCTCGGCCTGGACACATCAGGGAGGGCCTAGGCCCTGCACCGGATGAAATGACAGACCCTGGGGATCCCTCATGGAGGGCCTTATGCTCCCTGGGGCACAGAGTAGGGATTAGGTAGGGGGTTAGGGGGCCTTGGGGGGGGCGGGAGAGGAGGGGACAGAGAAGGAGTTGGGATTGACATGTGAAGCAAGCTTGCTTCTGATTTAAATTTTAAAAGATTAAAAAATGCTCCTCACACATTATGTAATGACTTGCGCTAGCTCTATGGAAATGACCCAGAGACTACATTCTTCTCAGAAGTCACTAGGTTAACATATATCATTCACCCTGGCAAGGTAGATATAGAGTTGGTGCTTCATGTACTATCTCTATCACCAGAAAATAACTCCAGGCAGAATCTACATAGACTTAAAGCATTTTCTGAAAAATGCACTGCCTGAGTATTAGAAGAGAAAATGTTATAAAGCATAAAATAACTTATTCCTCAAAGACCCTAAAGGATTAGATTGCTTTTACTTCAAACACTCTTCATGAAATAAATATTCCTGTCTTGAATTTTTTAAAAAATTAACTTTCATACATATAATATATACCAAGCCTATTAATGCATCAATGTTATGATAATATATGCTCTTTGAAACTTAGAGCTGAAAGACATTCAGTGAGACTAATTTTTATTATCTTTTTTCACACATAACATTGCTACTACCATTTCTCCTAATAATATTTTGAAACACTAGAAATACAATTTGTAAATAAGAATGTGTGCCGAAAAGCCAAGAATTAACTTCTCCTTTGCTCTTTCCCAACTATCTGTAAATCTTGGGCTCACTGTGTGCCAGAACATGTAGATCTACTCAACACAGCCACAAAGCATGAAATAGTCCTGAGGGAACAATGCCAGTTTCCACTGTGAACAAAAGCATGAAATAGTCCTGAGGGAACAATGCCAGTTTCCACTGTGAACAAAAGCATGTGCATAGATTTTGAACACGTGTGTATTTCTGCCAACAAAATTTCTAGAAGTAGACTTACTGATTCAATTGGCATATGTATTCCTCTTTTGATGGATAGTGCCAAAAAGTTTATAATGAGACTGCATAACGGTAAATAATATGGAAATTCAATAAAAATCCTGGAAAAATATTATTCAATTACTTGCTAAGTTGGGACTCTAAAAATAAGGAAAATCCACAGAGGAAAAACAAATTATGTAAAAATTAAAACTTTGCCTTAAAATGGCATCTCAATTGAGTTTTGCTCCCACACTGTTCACCAAACTCTTGCAATTTTACCTCATTTTCAAGGCTATGTGGATCATGGAAACAGGTATTAACCAGAGGTCTCACCAAAGTATGAATCAAATAGAAAGTCTGTGCATACAGCTAGGAACTTCAGAGACCCCAGACCTTTACAAGATTTCACCATAAAAGCCAACAACAGCTAAAGCCTTCAGTGGAAAATTTTCTTTTTATGACACTTTGACAGAAGACAAAACAAATTATTCTGATAATTACAAACAACAAACTGGGACTCAGGATCTTAGTACCTGTGCAAAATAAAAGACAAAACTCTCAAATGCATTGTCTAATTTTCTGTTGTCTAAGCTAAATCATACCCCAGGAACTAGCAGGAATTAAATGTAAATTCTCTGTGAAGAAATGTAACTTCAGTATAAGCTGTAAAACATTTCTAGAAATAAAATTCTAAGAAAATGAGTTCATAGTTCAAGGTCTTTAATAAAGACACACACACACACACACACACACACACACACACACACACAGCGGAGTGTGGTGGTACATATCTAGAATCCCAGCACTTGGAAAGTAAAGGCAGGAGGATCATCACAGATTCAAGACCAGATTTGTCTACATCCTGAATTTCAAGCCAAATAGAACTGTGCAGCTCATCACAGACTCAAAAGGGGAGTTTAGGAAAAAGGGAAAAGAAACGCAAACATGGAAAAGAAGAAGTATGAGAGAGAGGGGGAACAAAATATGCAGCAAGCTTGGAGTCATGGTAGTTCTGGTTACAAAATAATGTTTAATACGTAGCAAGAAATTAAATGACAGAATATGAACAAGAACTACAAGATCTAAAGACAACTAAAAGACTTTGGGAAAATGAAATACTACAATTGAAAATATAAAACCCAAGGATAACTTCAGGCAGTAAATGAAAATAGAAATACTGAACTGGAAAAGGACATGAATGTGCTGAGGAGATTTCAAGATGAAATACAACATGGAGTGTGAGATACAGTTTATCTTACATTCCACTGAACTTTCTAAATACATAACTGATTGATGCTACTTAGAAAATCAATATTCATAGAGTCTATAACTATTAATTTCCAGAGGCACTGAAAGACATATAATTTTCAAATCTCACATCTTTAAATAATCATAAACAAGGTAAATTTTAAGTAATGGGCTACTTAACACACAGTTGTGAAACTATAGAACATTAAAGACAAAGAGACGGTATTAGAAATAAGTAGCCAGAGATAAGATGGATACTGTAAAGAAAGGTCAAACTAAAGGGTGACAGAACACAGGCATGAGCAACACAAGAGTCAACATGCAATCCTAGAGATTAGATGCACAGTGAAGCTGTCTTTCAAGAGGAAGAGCGGTATGAAGATAGCTTCCAGATAAAATCTGAGTGGCATTACTATCACCATCAGATCTGCACCAAATGAAATCAAAATATTTGTGAGAAAACCTCC